CAACGTCTTTGCCAAGCGACGAAAACCCAACCCCGATGGCAAACACCGGGGGGGAGGGTGGGGGGGGTACTAAAATGTTGCTTGGCCCAGTCAGTCATTCGAGAATAAAGCAGTATCGGTTGCATGCTGCAGCCTTCGTTCAGTAGCTCCTGTAACACAATTGTTGCCAACAGCCATGAGAAGCCCGCTATAGAGGTTTGCAGGGGATTCCCGAAAACGCTGGCTATGTTGACTGCTGTTTCTTTATCGCGAGAATGGAATGGTCGAATGGAGAACTTGGCCATCTACCGGAATATCGAAAAAAAATGTCATGATCTAATCAGCATCGGATGTAGTCCACCGTGCCTTGATGGATACCGTCTTTAATAGCTGCTGCTGTTTCTTTATCGCGACAATGAAATGGTCGAATGGAGAACTTGGCCATCTACCGGAATATCGAAAAAAAAATGTCATAATCTAATCAGCATCGGATGTAGTCCACCGTGCCGTGATGGATACCGCTAGAAAACCAAACCTTCCAACTCAGTCATTATTTACAACAGGTCTGTCTCCTGCCTGCCGCCCGCTGCTGCTGTTGCAACAAGCGCGGGGTCAACCTTTGGTATCCCTCATCCGCGGTGTGGAAAGCGTGAGGGAGCACGTTTCCTGGATGTATGTAGATATCCATAGTGCCAAGTCCTGCACAAAAGTTGTGCCTTACCTTCATCATGCTTTCCACTTCTCCCTTTCGAGCGGCCTCCATCGCCGCGCGCTCGGCCTTCCGCTTCGACTTCGCCTGCTTGGCGGTCAGCTCCGCTGGCGCCGCGCCGCCCTTGCCCCCTCCTTTCCCCTTGCCGCCGCTCCCCTTGCCCTTGCCCGAGGACTCGGCGGCGGCGGCGGCGGCACTAGCCTTGCCGCCTTTGCCGGACCCCCCTGCCGCTGCAGCACCCTTGTTACCCCCATATGGTGAGAATCGAAAATAAGCAGAACCGACCGGTAGGGGTTTATTATACACATGATTTCAGGAGAAAGGTCTCGAAGATGTTGTATTCCGATATAATATGACCTGCGTGTTGTACATGCATGCATGTGTCGACCTTCACATGAACTGCTTGCTGTACTGCTGTAGTCCGGTCCGGAGTATTGCGGGGCAACCGAGCGTCACATTCATTCACATTCCGTTCTGGTTGTTTTGTGTACTGCCCAATAAAAAGGAGCAGTGGTATGCGTAGAGGAGGTTCAAATTCGTAAATAAGTATGGTAAACTTGGAAATTACAGCAGCAGCAGTTTTCCACCCAAGTTGTACTTGTACATCGTTTCTTCGAGCGTGCGAGCCGCTTGTTTGCTGGCCGTGGAATCAATTTTTCAAATCACAAAGTTCCCCTTTCACGCATGCATCTCACCTTACCACCCTGCGCCTCATTGCTAGCACCCTTTACTTTGGATCCCTTCCCGCCTCCCGACCCCTTAGCCTTGCCTCCCTTTCCCGAAAACCCGGTCATCCCTGTACCTGATGCCCCTGCTGTGAACCTGCCCGGAGCTGGTGATGCCCAACTCTCAATCCGTAGGGGCCCGCCAACTATGAAAAATCAATGGTAGTCACATCATGTTGTCTGCATCCACGGAGCCACTGGGTAACATTCCTATCCTGCGGGATCCTGCCATCACGGTTTATGGAACATTTCATGTACGACAATGATCACAAGAAACTGGGGCACGGCAGTTATCCGGGTAACGTGCGGAGGAGCGCTTGCGAAGGTGGCGCTGAACGGCTAATGTGGGGGTTTCGCTTTGTGCAAGATGGGTATCCGGTAGGGGGCGGGAGTTGCCACAACTCGCGCCCCCCAGGCAGTCTTGCCGCAACATACAATAGTCTCGTCGTATCACTTTCCGTCTCTCCGTCTCTGGCCACCCCAACACGCAACACGATCACAACAGAAGAATGTAACGGCAGGTGATACATCGGTTGCTTTCATGCGCGTCGATCTTTGTAACTTCGCCACTAACAACTGACTTTTAGCGTGTCATTCACTCATGAAAAATAAGATATCTATGGAGCTCCCGATGTCCCGGTAGAGTGCTAGTGCGCCTGCCTGTAGTAGATCGACAGGTGGAAGAAACGCAGACACACATGTTCGTGACGCTCGTTCCTCACACAGGATTTCCGTCGGTAGAAAAGGTGTGGGTGCATGGCTTACATGCGTCCCTGTGGGTGCGTAAAATTTGTTGGATACTTGCTGAGAGCGTGTTGTGTTTGGGAGTGGGAGCCTTTTAATTATGGGTGCGCCAAGTATGTACCGTAAGAGTTTTATTCTGCAAGTTCAGGGCTTATTGATATGGTCGAGTACTGGATCTGAATTGTAGGCGTGGTACAGCAGCTGAAGCACCGCTACTCTTATCGCCACCCTGGTCTGCGAATGACTGCAGCTCCTGTTGTTGTGGTGTTTGGAAAATTTCTGTTCCCACGTTCCCGCTTGTGTTGCTACGTAGACTACTCCGAGTAGTAGAGATGAACGATGGGAGCATCCACACCTCAACCCGCAGATCCAACACAATGCTCTGCGTGCTTCTTCATTGTGCAGGTTACCTTCTCTTAAGCTGTGACGCCATGTTCCGTGGCAGAGGGGGAATAAAGTATGCAACGTTCAATGACGCACAGCTGCTGCACAAGGTGGTGAACGGGGACTTGTTGGGTGTCAAGAAGGAGTTGGTGAACGCTGGAGTGAGTGTAAACGGCAATCCACGCCTCCTACGAGACATCACGCTCATCCTCACAACCGTGAAAGGTCATATCCGCATCGCTGAGTTTCTGATCGCAAGAGGAGCCAACCTGGAGTCGGCCTGCCTTGAAGACGTTGTAAACGAAATTGGAGAAATGTCCGTGAGGAAAGGGACGCGCGCACTTCATCTTTCCTCCAGCCCTGAAATCACCTCTGTGTTGCTGAAGGCTGGTGCATGTCCCGACGCCACGGACGCGGACGGGTGCACCCCTCTCATGTGAGCTGTCGAAAACCCAAAGCCCCCGGCGGTGGGGATGGTACGAGAGCTGCTCAAGGTGCCGACCCCAGGTTGACCACTAAGGACGGAAAGATGACTCTGCACTTTGCCGTGGGGGCCGGGAACATCGACGCAGCCTCGTGCCTGTTAGACGCTGCGCCGGAAAAGCTGAATCACCCGGCGCTAGAATGCCACATCACTCCTCTGTACTTCGCAGCGATGGGAGGGTATGTCGCTCTCGCCGACATGCTTATATCCAGGGGTGCAAGGACCAGGCCTTTGATCGCAAACGAAGGGACGGCGCAACATCTCGTGCTCGCTGTACGTGGCTGTGGCCTTTCTGCAAGAGAAGTCCGTGGAGCTCATCGTTGACAAAGGCATGAAGGCTGTTGGAGGGATTGCCTCTGTCCCTGCTGCTCTACTCGCAGCGGCGCGGTTCGGCCTTGTAAACGTCGTGAGGATGCCCATTGGTGTGCAATGCCAGGGCAGGCAGGAATACTGGGAAAAATTGTTGCATTTGGGATGGCGCGTGCTGACCGTCGCCGCTGGGTTCAACTCCCTTGAGGTAGCCATCCTCCTTTTGCAGGCCGGGGCAAACGAAGGTGCACTCGACGAAGGTGGGAAACACGCCGTGGACTCTATCGGATCGCTGGTGAGAAGCTCGATCCACGTTACGGACAGCCCTGCACCAGTAAAAACTGCTAGAAGGGACACAAGGGTGACGGATCCAGTGAGGGAGGCCCGCATTCGTTCCACGTTGAGGCAGGGCCAAGCGTTCCGAGCTCGATCATGGTTGTGGCCGCCCACCGCGCAAGGCGGCGTAACTGCCCCGACTGTTGCTCGTGGTGACACGGTGACGGCGAAACGAACGGCGTGTGTCCGTCGACCGAAAGGCACAAGGTTCTTCGCCAAGCCCGTCCTCGAGAGGTGAGGGGTGGGAGGGGGGGGGCGGGGCAGCTTGACTTTCCGCTCCAGCGGCCATGTGTTTTCAGGAGCAGTACGCGTCGCTAGTAACGCCGCCTTAGGTTGTTTTGAGTACTATTATAATGAAACCTAAGCCTAGAAGACCACCGGTTGGTGTTTCAACCGTGCACGCGTTGTGTAAGCACCGTCAGCCATTGCCGAGTGCCTGCATCTGGTTCATGGTTTGGCATGTTTCAATCGAACGCCACCCTCCCCGTTCCATTTTGAAATAGGAGAAACGCACACTTACCGTATAAGCATGATGGAAAACACACACATCGATGGTGAAGCGTTTTTGTTCATGGTTCTGGCTTCCCCGCAAGGCGACCGTACTTGAGTAGGTTTCAGGTTTAGGATTGACGCAACAAGTCCTCGTCTTCGTCTCTGAAAGTACGGATAGCGCCGCCACGTACATATGACACCTCTTATCGTGTCTTGCGCAACCCTCGAGGCTTTGTTGGCCGCCCTACACCAAGCACGTGCTATCTTTTGCCAAGTTCTTATTTCGGCCAGGGACATCTATGCTACTTTGTCCCGGATCTCGTTTGATACATAGCGATAGCGAGTGCCCCATGCTGGACAATCGCCCTGTCCAGGTGGTATTCGTTTGTTATCACTGCATGTCTACACCATCGGCCCTAGGACCCTGACGAACTGCAGGACCGTGTAGTTCAACCGCATCTGCTTCCGCGGTTATTCTCATTTACAACCAACAAAATGAACATCGACCAACACTTCAACAAACAAAGCGCACGGGACCATTGAACAACGATATCAATCATCTTGGTCCACAAGGGTTGCGTTGGGCTTCACTGCCCTCCCCGCTCTACCAACTGCCGGGTTAGTTAGGTATACCCCCGATGGGAGCACCATCTACCTGCTCTGTTGTGATCCTCTCCAGCGAAACGCATGAACCTCCTACGAGTTCATCCGGGTCTCCACTGTACTTTTCCAACGGCAGTTTCATGCTGCGGGTGCTATGCTTTTCCTCAAGCTGCCCACGGTGATCGTCGTACCGCCGAGTTTAGGACTCCGTTCTTCTGTTAAGCCCCAGGTTAAAATCCTCGGGTGCTTGTTATTAAAGGGTTGAATAACAAGCTATTTCGACGCTGGTTCTGTTTTTACTCAAATCAATATATAGAAAGAAAACCACCTTCCTGCCGTCTAGATGTTCCACATTCTACTGTTATCAGTAGAGGACACCATGAAGAGGCGTTCAGGTTTGCTATTGGAGCTGAAATATCGAAGGTCGCAGCAGCAGTCTGAAGACAGTCCGTAATCTGCATCGGAACCCAACTTTTGTCACAGCTGTGCTCACCGCCACGGACCGCAAACCCCTGAACGATGGGTCGTCACCAGTAGCTAGTGGGATCAGCTACTAAATAGTAAACAAATAGTTAAGGAGATTGGGGTCAGTGGTGGCGGGCACAAGCAGTACAAGACGTTGAATGTCGGTCAGCTTTGGTATATTTTCCGGAGATTGAAGGTCGCTATTACTACTACGACCATCGATATCACCACCAAAGAAGCAATTTGTGCACGCCAACACACACAGCACCGATGCTATATGGTGTCCTCTAGTGATCTCAGAATTTACCTTATTAGAACGCCTGCCGTTCTGGCTCTTTTGGTTTGGATTTAGACTGGTGTGGATTTTTTATGCTGATTTCAAAGGAGGCGTGTGGAGGTAGACGCGTGAAATGTGTGTTTTGAGCCGCCCTGTGTGAGAATTGCCGATTTCTGTTTTTCCCTAAACCTTCGGACTGGTCTTTGTCTGTCTCGTGGTGTGCGTTTTCTGGTGCTGTTCCGTTTCTTTCACAATCACTCATATCGTCAAAATTGCCTGTTGTCTAACGCGTGGCGCGGTCAGTCTGTAGACATCGATTCCTTACCCCCCCACACACTTCCTCATTTTGAAGCTTCGTCGTTCACTTTCCGTATGATGACAGGTACGCTCAGAAGCGGTGAGACAGGGAGGAGGCGGAGCGCTCCCGAGGCCTCCGTCGTAGGATTTCTCTAAAAAGCAGTTCAGCCAAGGCCATCGTTGATGTGGTTATCTCTTGCTGTTTCGCGGCTCGGCGGATTCGCTACTCCTGCTACCTTTGGCTAGATGGACGGGAGAGGTTACTACACGCCAAGGGAAGCGTTGTCTATCGTGACGTACGGCAGATAGATGCCGACACCATACCCGTGACCAAGAGGATATGTTCTTATGTGTACAGATGGAGGGTTTAGTTAGGCGAGGCATTAACAACCTTTTTCCCAAAGGTGTTGCAGCAGTAGTACTGGTACTTTTCTATCAGATCATCAGTAAAGCACTCTCCAGGAAAATAAACGAGGCATTGGGTAGGGTGACTGACGCCAAAACACATGATGGCAATTTTATTGGATGTATGTAGTTGAAGCACTTTTTTTTGTACATTCTATGTCGAATGTACCGCATGTGATTGCTCTCATCTCAAACCGTGGTAGGCGACAAAAGATGCCTCGCGACGCTGTACATGATGTTCGAGAAAAAAATTGTAATGTAAACATCACATTGGGGTCCTCACGTACGTACGTACTGAGCAACGAAGTACCACCACCATCACCACCACCCTGATCGTGTTAATTAGTTCCAATTTGCACGGGATGGATGGACGCGATTTCTTCGGTTCGGGTGGTTGGCATTTTGTATGAAGGCAATAGGGCGCGTAGGTAGATACTCCTGCTGTAGGATCGAGTGCATGCATTGATTGCAAATGTGCAAATAGCGCCCGCTTAAAACGTCTACGTTTGGCTGAGGCTGAGGCTGAAACTAATTTAGTTTCTCTTGTGAGCTATGTACTATATATATTTTTAATAAATGATGGCCGTCATTATTATTATGCAGAAAACAGCTTTTTTCGTGTAGTAGGGGTTGCAAATGGTACTCGAGTTCTCAGGTTTTGATATATATGTATGATGTTAAGGATTGCTGTCTGTTGTGTCGTATGCATACAAAAAAAGCGGTCGATTGGGGGGGGGTGGATGAATGAATGATGACCGGGTCGCGGAAACACGATGAATATTAATGTGCTTGCTGTGTGGCTTCGCATTGAGTAGAAGGATCCTTCTCAGAAATCTTCCATTGTATGGGAGTTCAATGATCAATGATACTCTGCCTCTCTTCGAACTTGAGCTGATGAGTTTTTTTCCGTGCAGTTCATGGATGGGTGCGTGTGTTGCAGTTCATGGGTGTCTACATGATGATGAAAAGAAAAAGGTTGCGCAAATGACCGTCAGTCGTCGTCGTCGTCGCGTCGTCGTCGTCGTCGCGTCAGGAAACAAATCCAACCATGGCCTCGCCCGCCCGTAAACCCTGACCCTGTTGTCACTTCCAGTTTCAATTATCGAAGCGGCAAGAGCGAACCTTCTACTGTGGAGATTATTCCGTTCCATCGTCCCCGTCATCCTTTTCTTGCTATTTTTTTTTGTGTTCTTTAGATCTTCTGATGGCTCTAGCATTTTTGTGACCACGGACGAGTCTTTGCTAGATTTTGAGATTAGCAACTGACAAGAGTTTAATGTGAAGAAAAACAACAACAACAACAGTCATCAGTGCTGGATGGATGTGAATAATGTGTTGCAAGGAGGAAGAGAGGCGCATTTCATAGGGAAACAGAACCGAGTACAACCACACAAGAAAAGGGAGGCTATATAAAAAAGTGCGGGGATAGAGAGGCTCGAACTCTCGACCTTCTGCTTATGAGACAAACGCTCTAGCCAACTGAGCTATATCCCCCCCGCACATTACGAGAAGTTGCGAACATAATGACATATGAACTCTCTCCCTGTTTTAGGATATAGTCGTACTACCTCTGTCCGAGAATATAAGCAAGGTTTGGAAATCCGGGAATATAAGCAAGCTTTCTCGATGAAGGTGTTTCAAGGTGTTTTGGACACCGTTTCCTTCCTATTTTTTTGCGTCAAGCTCGGATATGATAAGCGGCCAAGAAAAAACCAACATAAGAGGGGATGATAAGGTTTCATCCCCTCCCCGGAGAAACATTGATTTCCCTGCCATAGCGCTCAGTAGGGAAAAAGGGGTCCCATTTTTTCTCTCGTTTGCGGCAATGAATAGTGCTTTTTTCCTCGTTTTTTTTTCTTTGTATTTTTGGGTACTTGAACAACCTGTACAATCACGTTGCGAAGTATCTTCGATAGTTCTTTGGTGCTGACCGGGACCAAAGTTCCAGAGTGGCAAAAATCAGCAACTTCGAGGGGCCAAAATGAAGGGAAGGCGTAAAAAAAAAAAAAAAAAAAAGCGTTTTTCCGAAAAAAAAAGGTGTTTGAACCCAGGATCGAACTCACGGCCACTGAACAGCTCGCTTTCGCGGTGTATTTTGCCTTACGACCAAACCTTGCTTATATTCTCGGACAGAGGTAGTATAACAGCAGCGAGGGGTATTTACTGCATGCTGCTGCGTGTCTGCTATCGAACTCAAGCTACGCTGCTCAATGTGCGTGTAGAGAGTGGTGAGAGAGGGGTCCTCCATCCACCAGCCATATCTGTGACTTCGCGGTCTCTTGATCGAAAGAAAACAAAAACTTTGTCCTAGCAGCGGTCGGCGAAGATCCGTGACACATGATTGATGTGGACGATCGATGTAAAAAAATAGAGTTGGAGTTGTTGTTTCTCACGCTCGAGGACTGACTCCTGTCACCTTCGTTGCACCGTGACGGCCGAGCCCGGTTTGCTTGGGTTGCTTCCCCTTGGTATGCAAGAACCAAGACCCAAGCGCCACGCGCTGTGTGGCACAGCACTCTGTCGGACGGCAGCAAAAACATCTAGTCTAGTCCAGTCTATCTAGTCTAGATTAATATGTTTATCCAAAAAACAAGATCTTCATACGTTTTGCAGCAGGTATAGACTAGGTTCTTAGTTCTTAGCGTACTATCGTAGCGAATATTAAGGTTTGAGGACGGAAGAATAGCGCGTGCGTTCTAGCAATCTCGATCCAAAAAGTGCGGGGATAGAGAGGCTCGAACTCTCGACCTTCTGCTTATGAGACAAACGCTCTAGCCAACTGAGCTATATCCCCCCCGCACATTGGTGGGTGTCGCAGACGTCGCTTACTTTCTTACCGTACTTTCGCAGTTGCGGACGGTGGAAGAGTAGTTCTTGCTTTCCAGCAAACTCAGTCCAAAAAGTGCGGGGATAGAGAGGCTCGAACTCTCGACCTTCTGCTTATGAGACAAACGCTCTAGCCAACTGAGCTATATCCCCCCCGCACGTTATCATGCTATACACCTATGTTTGACGGCGTCTAATCTGTTGTTTGTTATTGACAGCGGCGTTCTCCTGCCCGCAATACACCACAGCATCGTCGGAAAGCTTGTTTACGTCCTCACTCATGTATGTATTTGATAGCCGGCCGGACTGTGGGGTAGATAGCACGGACCCCCCAGGCACAGCAGGCGCCAGTGTGCCAGTTTTTTTTTTGTTTGTTTTTCTCCCATCATTGGACTCTGTCGTCTGCCCCTCTGGCCCCTATCCTCCACTTCTACTAGCTAGACGACCCAACCGGGGTCACATAGGAGGGGGGGGTTGGACCCCCTCCTGCGGTTCATGCCTGAGGTATTTTTATCGCGAGAAGGGTACAGCAATCCCTTCCCTCGCGACTTATGAAGTCGGTCAAGTTTACTAACAACAAGCTTTGCAGCGCATCGCTTCCAACGGAGACTAGTTAATTGGATAGAGAGAAAAATGTGCCAGGGTTTTTTTGTTTGTTTTTCTCCCTCATTGGACTCTGTCGTCTGCCCCTCTGGCCCCTATCCTCCACTTCTACTAGCTAGACGACCCAACCGGGGTCACATAGGAGGGGGGGGTTGGACCCCCTCCTGCGGTTCATGCCTGAGGTATTTTTATCGCGAGAAGGGTACAGCAATCCCTTCCCTCGCGACTTACGAAGTCGATTATGGTTTATTTACCATCAGGTTGTTGTGAATGCTGGGATCTGGAGCGTTTTGGGCTGCCAGGGCGTTGGGAGGGTGTTTTCCTCACGGAGCCCCCAGATTCAAACTAATTCAAACGAAGCACTCGCCACAACAATTGCCTCCCGCCTCCCTTTCGCCCCTCTCTCTCTCTCTCGCTTACTCCAAGATGTCAGCACCCGAAGCAACACCCGGAGGAGAAGCACCTGCTGCTGGGACGCCGGCTTCGCCAGAGGTAGCTCCTGCCGTGGTTGAAACCAGTAACGGTAGAACAGCGGAAGCCAGCATGGCTCCCCCCTCGGCGGCCGCACCCCCAGCAGCAGCAGCAACAACAGCAGCAGCAGTAGCAGCGCTCCCTCAGCAGCTGGCAGATCACAACAACAGCAACGACGTCAGCGCCGCCAACGAGGAGGCGGAGGAGAAGATGATTACGGAGGAATACAAAGTCTGGAAGAAAAACACGCCGTTCTTGTACGACGTAGTCATGACCCACGCCCTGGAGTGGCCGAGGTGTGTGTGAGGGACGGCGGTAGAACAGCAGCACGATTGGGGTTATGTACACAAAAGATAGGTCATTGGGGAAAGCCACAAGCGGTGGGAGGGGTACTAGCACAACGACTCGGCGGCAACTAGCTCTGACGATTTCCGCGACGCACATTTTCCGAGAATGTTGCGCGCCATGCGACCCTGCTCAATTCAGTTTTGAATCACCCAAAATACGATTCCTCTCCCTCTAGTTCAAATTCAAAAATCAAATCAGGACGAGCCGAACGCGTGTTTTCAGACGAACCACGGGAAGAACAGGTTGGGCCGACCCAGCGTCGTAACTGCTGCCATTCGGGCGTGCATATGCCGTGTAGGATGAGTAGACCCCCCTGGTAGGCCATATACCGCTGGTGCTACGTCTCCCTGTTTTATCTGGGTCCTTGGGCAGTCTGCACGTGAGGTGAATCTTTGTCTTTGCTTTCGTTGCGAGGGGGAAAAACACGACACACATTCAGTAACCAAGTGGCCGTTCAGCCACACAAATAACAGCATCCAGCGGGAGCAGCAACGCAACCATCCCGTGCCACGCGGGAAAATCTCTAGTACGGTGTCGATCACGCTCGAGACACATGTAATCGTTTGAGTTCGTTGCGTACCACAGGATTATTCTCACCTATCGGCACAATTGCCCTCTTTGCCCGGGCAGCGTACAGTAGTTTAATCTTGGATGCATAGGTCGCCACGTCTCCACGCGAAGATGAGATGACCCTTGTTCTCGGGTAAACTGGACCCCCTGAGTCCACAGCAGGGTTCACAGCCGACTCGCCGACCCACAAGCATGCTTCGCAGCCCTGCTCTCAAGAACCATTTCGGCGGGGGTGTAGCCGATGGTCCCCAAGTGCCAGCAGTAGCCACTGGGCAGTAGTCAGATAGCGTTGGGGCGCCTTTTGTCACCATGCCATCTCCGGTTAGCACCCGCTGTCGAGAACCGTTGAATTTTGGCCGAGGATGGGGTGTTCTTGGTTCAAACGTTAAGCGACAAATGGCCGCGCTACATATAGTGGTGGTTTTTAGTGCGGGCTGGTAAAATTTTCGAGGCTACATCAATTTCTTGAGTGGGGGGGCCAACTGCTGCATAGTATGCGCACATTTGAGAAGTACTCCGCTCTGTCCCGACCGACCAATGCCGACATGTAGACTAACGGCGTGAAGATTGAAAGCAAGCACCAAGCGAGCGCCCCCCCCCCCC